AGCGGCTTGGGGGGTGGCCTTGAGGCACCCAGCATGGCTTCCCCGGGGGCCTGGGCAGCTGCTGGTCTAGGCCCCTCCTGCGACGTGCTGGCCGACGACAAGGACTGCTCTGGCCATGCGGTGAGCCGGCTGCTGGCGCTGACGTCCAAGTGGCTGGCCTCCGAGGATGAGCTGGACAGGCTGCGGTCATCCCCTGAGACAGAGCAGGAAGCCAAGGCAGCTTGGGGGGGTGCGGGGGGCTGGGGAGGGCTCAGGGTGGGGCTGACGCCTGGTGGACCCCTACGGGCCAGCACTCTCTGGTCTCGCCCCACCCCTCCCAACCCCTGGGGGCTACAGCAGAAACCTGGCTTCACCAACGACAGCCCCTCTGCCCCTCGTCCACTCCTGTTTTTGTCTGTCCTTCTGCCACCTGCTCTACTAGGGCCTGAGCCCCTCCCTCTCAGCATCCCTGTCACTACCTTAGTCCCAGCCTCCTCCTCTCCCCCAGAGCTCCCCACCCTCCCTTCCTAAGAGACCTGGGCTCCATACCCAGCCATCCCCACTAACTTCCAGGGCCTCCTGGGGCAGCTGGCCCTCCGCACCGTCCCAGCCCCAAGGCTGGCCTGGACATCCCTTCCCGAGAACTTCCCAGGCCCTGCCAGCCTGGACGTGAGGTCCCAGCTGTGCCCACATACCTTGACTCACCACCTGCCCTCACCACGCTGGCATCCTTGCCTCACTCCCTGTCTCCCTCCCCACGGGGGATGAGAAGCACACCCAGGCTGCCTCCCGCCTGCCAGGCCGGGCCTCGCGCACGCGTGGGAAAGCCGCTTTCATCTCTGCTGCCTCTCTAAGCTGCCTGCTCTGCCTTCCAGGGCTCCCAAGGGGAAAGCAGTTGTGAGTCACCCCCAGGAAGGCAAAAGCTCACTGCAAACCTGAGTCCCCTCCTCCTGGGGCAGGGCAGGAGGGGAGATGGCCACTGTCTGCTCGGTGCCCTCTGGGGAACAGGCAGTGATCCGAGAGCACTTGGCCCTGGGAACACAGGTCGCCCATGCAGCCACCCTTCTGGGAGCACAGCGGCCTCTCCTGCCCTGCCAGCCCCTTCCACCGCCTCCTCTCCCCACGATAGCAACAGAGCCAGAGCCACCGGCAGCTGAGGAGGCACCTCTGCTCCTGAGGAGCTAGCTCGCCTGCCTGAGAGCCTTTTGTCTGGGCACAGAAGGTAAAACCAACACGCAGGGCCTTGGTCTCCCCCGGCCACAAGCTGGTGGGCAGGAAACGATTCAAAGGCTCTCAGGCCAGAACCACCCTTCCCATCAGCATCTCAGACCAGAGTGTAGTAAATGTGGAATTGTAAGTGAAGGAAGGAATGAGCTGAGCAGGGGAAGAAGGAGGGAAGGGATGAATAGGTGGGAGACGGAAAGAAGGAATGAGCAGGAAGGAGAAAGAATGAGCAAGAGGGAAATGAAGGAATGAATGAGCAGGGGGGAGAAGGAATGAATGAGCAGGGGGGAGAAGGAATGAATGAGCAGGGGGGAGAAGGAATGAATGAGCAGGGGGGAGAAGGAATGAATGAATGAGCAGGGGGGAGAAGGAAGGAATGAATGAGCAGGAGGGAAATGAAGAAATGAATGAGCAGGAGGGAAATGAAGAAATGAATGAGCAGGTGGAGAAGGAAGGAATTAATGAGCAGGGGGAAGGAATTAATGAGCAGGGGGGAAGGAATTAATGAG